AATAGTTAATGTTAATGATTTATTATATTTTGTTTATTTATGTGGATACAGTCACTTTTGTGAAACTATTTTAGTTTAAAGATTGAATATCATAATGCTCTTTTCATACTATTACTTCTTCAAAACTACTTAGCTGTGGAAGTAAATGTTTATAACAGCGAGCTTTTTTTTACCATATTTTGAGACATGATAATCCTATCAGTTCAAGTACTAATTAACTTTTTTTTTTTCATTGGAGGCTGACATGCCATTAAACTGTAATAAGTAAATTTTAAGAGCTACAAATTGCTCTATAAGGATTTTTTTTTAATCATCAATATTTGAGTACTTTAAAAGCCAAAACTTATGTATGCATACCTCTAAAGATATAATAACCATTTTAGGAGAAAAAAAGTAAATAAGGATACTTAAGATATGGCAAACAATGCTACACCACATAATTCAGTCATGGACCATTATAAGGAAAAGAAACAAAGAAAATCTTTCGGGTAGTGTGCGTGTGTGTGTTTAGCAAATTGACTTCTTTTGCTTTTTTTTTCTACCCCTTAATGACTTTACAAGGAAAAAAAATTTCAAACTGAATTTCTTTTCATTTCTTTTTCCTTCTTAGACTTACCTTAATAGGAAAAACATTAAATGTGAGCAAACAATTAAGTACCCTTGACCTTTTTTTTTTTTTGGCATTTCAGTTCGTATCTAGAAATTTACTTTGATTTCTAAGAATTCATCCCAGTTTTGAAATTTTCATTTAATGCCTTCTAAATCCAGGTACGACAATGCCCCTTGGTTAAAAAGCTCGCTCCAAAGACCGGAAATTCAAAAATAAAAAATTATTGTACAGGTGCACAAAGGAAAACAAAATCTATTTGCAATTTATCCAATATTTACAATGGTTCTTTACATTTTCGTGGTAGCAGTTTCATACCAGAATTTCTCAGATAGGCTAAGGCTTTTTAGGAGATTTATATACTTGATATTATTTGCTAGAGAAATTTTGTTGGTTGGGAACTCTACCATTTCTAGTGTATTCATTGATGGGACATTATAACTTGTAATGTATACTATAAGATGCGCAAAAACAAGCAAATATATACGACCCATAACACTAAAGAACATGTTCATTTAACAAGCCTCTTCAATGCAACAAGGAAATGTTTACTTGCGATATAGTACAACACTAAATCCCCCTCTTCTTCTTTGTGGCACCGGTACTCCGATCTAGCTGCTGGAGGATTCTTGGATCCATGTTGAACGTCGATCAAAGTTGACGTCCTGCTTATTTATAGCTTCAGATCCTGCCGTAGGTCCAGTTGCTTCTGTACCAAGCAGAATCATTCGGTGATGAAGCAATGAGGGTACCTGCATGTGTGGTCTCTAGGATTTTGGTTGAGTACATATCAGACGTTCACTTCTGTGTATTAGCAAATGTTGTAGCCACAAAATAAAGATGCAGCTGAGAATAGATTATTTTTGAAAATGAAAACAATGGTTTTAACTCTTAATCAATACCCTACGGGAAAGAAAAATTAATTATAGAAAATCATGATAGGAAGAAAAAACCAAGAAAAAAAAAAGGAAACATCATAGCGTTAAATCAGGTGTATTGCCAAAATTTTTGACAATCCAGAGAATTTCATCTCTGATAATAATGAATACCTAAATATCAACGATGATAGCCCGGTTTTACCTAGACAGCAGTTACAAGAGTACTCAGCACTGAAACCTAAACAGCTCTCTGGATTTCTAGGATCTCTCAGAGCTGTATTTATGGACATAGACACGAGTATTTGGTGTGTAAATGATAAAGAGGCTAGTCGTTTGTTATAGGGCAAATTACACTTTACCCCCTTTAGTTTAGTATTTTTGTACATAGTCCCCTTATGATTTCAAAAACTATACATAATCCCCTCATGATTTGGATTAAAATGTCAAAATGATAGAATTTGCAAGTCATAACGGAGTCACCTAAAATGTCAAATATACTCCTATGTAAAGTTGAAAATTATTTATTAACCACGGGGGTTATGTATATATTTTGAAAATCATAAGGGGGTTATATGATAAAATATTAAATTATAAGGGAATTATATAGTAAAACACAAAACCATATAGGGTTAATGCGTCATGTATATTATATTTATGTATTTTGATCACTTTAACCATTTTAATTTTGGAAAAATCGGCAATTTAGTCCCTAAACTTTTTTTTCGTCGATTTAGTCCCTATACATTATTTATAGCCAATTTAATCCTTAAACTTATATTTCGATTCCAATCAAGGAGCTTAGCGGTGGCGCCACCGCAAAATTTCCATCAGCTTCCCAATCGAGCAACCCAGAAGGGGTATTTTAGATACTTCCGTTCTGGAGCCTTAACCAAAATAAACCGAAACAAAAGTCTCATGAGAAATACCCACCCAAAACCCAAAATGAAAACAAAAAATTTGTTGGACAAAAATTTCTTGCTCAGCTCTCAGAGAAGAGGGGTGGTGGCCTGGTGGCATAATTTCCATTACTGGGAATAGGAATTGGTGAAGTACAGTGAAGAAAAGACTGGCAAAAGAATCTGTGGCCTAAATATGGCAAAGCAGTGGAAAACACCATCTGTTTAGTTCCTCGGAAACCTCCTCAGTCCTCCAGGCCCACCCCAAACCAAGGCGAGCCCGCTTTCAGCATTATCTGTACCTACACTTGTCAACTACTCCCACTATTAAGCTATCTAGGATTCCCCGGTTGGATCCAAGAAGAAGAGCTGAAACCCTTTGCAAATTAAGAAGAAGAGGGACCAAAGGGAAGAGTAGTTTGTCTGCAGGAGGAAAAGGGACTTGACGTGACCAGAAGAGTTGATGTGTGCTGTATAGGAATGATTTTGATGCGTAAAAGTTGTTGCATGGGGTGGGAGTGGAGAAATTAATCGAATCGGAGCCTGATCAATTGGCAGCACAGGGTTAGCCTTCGGAAGATATTAATTAGTCCTGATTCAGTTCCTTTCCACTTTTGCGGTTTTGCCTGCTTCATCTCCATTCGAGTTTGATTTTTCGTTCTGGGCTTGCTACAAAGAGATGAAAGAGCACACAAAGAGATGAAGCTTGCAATGTGTCTTTTACTGGTGCAATTAAGCTGGTGACTGGTGAGATAGGCATCACTAGGTCATCTTTTATGGTCATAGGTTAGTGGAAATCTATTTTTTTTTTTTTTTTTGAGTTTGTTCTTGTTTATTCTGTTTGTTGGTATTTTTCTGGGGGTTGTTTCGGCCAGTAGGAGCTCTCAGTCCAAATGGGAAACTCTATATGGTTTTGTGGTTCATTGAGCAGTAATTATTGGTCTTAGTTGTAAATACTTAGTGTTAGTGATTTATTATATTTTGTTTCTTTATTGGATACAATCACTTCTCGAAGTACTTAATTTTGAAAATTGAATGTCATTATGACTAGTTATTTATATTTTATATCTTACTTTTCATACGATGACTTCTCCAAAAACTACCTATTTGTGGAATTAAATGTTCATAAGAGTGAGTTGCTTCCTCACCCCTTCCCCTCCTTTTGTGGTTCAAAGTTACCACATTTTGAGACATGATATTCCTATCAGTTCAAGTACTAATTACCATTTTTTTTTTTTTTTTTGCATTGGAGGCTTGACAGGCCATTAAACAGCAATAATTAAAATTTCAGAGCTACAGATTTCTCTAAAGGATATTTTGTCATCAATCTTTGAGTATTTTAAAAGCCAAAACTTGTGTATGCATACCTCTAAAGAGAAATAACTCATTTGGCAGAAAAGAAAGTATATAAGGATACTTAGGATATGGTAACAACGCTACACCACATTACACAGTCAAACACCATTATAAAGAAAAAGAAAGAAAATCTTTCTTTCATGTATGTGTGTGTATGTGTTTGTATGTATATATATACGTAGGCATTAGGCATGTTAATGGATAGGATCTTATTCAGATCCAACACAGACCCAACGTGCTTGGGTAAGGTTTGGATTTAATTTTTCAAATCTAAATCCTATCCAAACCCAGACTCTGTAAAAAAGTTGTGGATCTGGGTAGAGTTTAATTTTTATGATTAATATCCAAATTCAAACACATATCAAATCCTATCCAGACCCATGTATATATAATTAAAATTATATATATTACCAAATTTATAAAATATTCTAATATTCTATGGTTGGATCAAATACAGTAAGATTTCATGATTGTTTTCTTTTTTTAATCTAATCCTAATTGTCATTGTAATTAGCACAAATTTTTTCAGAAAAAGAGAAAAAATAAAAAAAATAAATGAAAGATTGGACGTAGATATAGTTGAAGTTTTAAAAATAAATCAAATTAGTCAATAATAGTAATTTTTTGAGTTCATAATGTTGCATTCAACTTCTTGAATATTAATTTTGTTATTTGAAAATAAAAATTAGATGGTGTTTATATTTTTTGAAATCTATATATTTTTAATACGTTTTTATTTTAGTGTGTTTAGAAAAATACAATAGGTACCCATTGGGTACCTAGATCCAAAAGGGTTTGGATTTGGGTCCAACTAAATTTAATAGGTCTGGATTTAGATCAGAAGAATCCAACCTATATTCTACCCATGGACATGCCTATATATATGTATATTATGTGTGTGTCTTTAGCATACTGACTTTTTTCTTTCTTTTTTTTCGTCCCCCTTATCAAACAAACTTTAAAAGGAAAAAATTCAAACTGACTTCCTTTTTATTTCTTTTTCCTTCTTTAATAGGAAAAATGTTAAATGTGAGCAAACAAGTGCCCCTGACCCTTTTTTTTCCTCTTTCGCATTTAAGTTGGTATCCAGAAATTTACCTTGATTTCCAAGAATTCACCCCCGTTTTGACATTTTTATATAACGCCTTCTAAAAGCAGGTAGGAAAATTCGTCTTGTACTCATCACACATGAAAATAAAATACGTAGCATCCACCATTGGCAAGTAAAGGACCATTTCAAACTCAAACATCCAAAAGTTGCTGATGATATTAGAGATAATGTTTACAGCCAAACAGCAAGAAGAAGATTAAATTAGTCAAACAGTACAAAACGCAGAACTTTAAATTTTCAACATATGCATATGCTACGAAGGGGTTTGAGTTATCCAATTTAGACAAAATACGATGAAGGAATGACTCATTGCTAGCCAGCTTGTCTCACTCATCCTCACTGCTGCTTGTCTTCCACGACGTCAGATTCTTGAGCTTTTTCAGGGATAATCTCTGGACCAAATCCGCGGAGCCTGCGTGATGATCTTAGCGGAACAGGTTTAGTCAAAGATTTAGCGACGCCTTTTCCCTTTTTTGATGAAGTTGCACCTTCATCCAGCTTTTTATCAACTGCAACGGCTGATGAAAGATAGGAGAATCAGGGGGAAATGTAAACAAGGGAAAACTAGCCAAGTAATTTAAATTTGAATCCCTCAAGCTGGACAAATTAAACTTAGAATTCACATAAAATTACTCTTTTTTGTTTTTTCTTCGAAAGGAAATAAGCATAATGACTCACCATGATCAGAGACTTGGGTGCTGGAGCTGGGTAGTTTCTTGCTGGATACTGCAACTGCAGCTTGTTCCTTTGGCTTAGAATGTGCAGGTGGCAACAAGTAAATAGAGTTAATAAATCAAGTTATCTGCAGGCAAGTTAATTTCCATCTTATGTTACACGAATTTTTTTTTTTTTTTAAAGTACATTGGCTCTCAAGTTTAAATACTGATGCAAAGAACCCAAAAGAGCTCCATAAATACCACACACACACTCATATACACTGAATTTAACTCGGTGACCCCTCTAAGTGTTAGAAAAGTTACACGTTCAGTGGGGGCCTTGAGCTCATCTCTCTTGTCTACTTCTTCTTCTGATGATGAAGAATCTGGATCCAAGGATTCCCACTCATCTTCTGAGCTGGTATGAGCTAATTGTGTAGGATGAAAACCCTGCACCACGTATTTGTGGTTACGCATGCAATATTGTTATTAAGATCCAACATTTGCTTGGCTTAAACAATCAGTAAGTGTAAACCTGCATGAAATAGGAAAGTGTTTGAAGTTCAAACTCACAGGCTTATAGATGGAAATTTGCTCGCGTTTAGCATAGGCCACATATCTCATCAGATCTTCCATTGTGAAAAATTTTTGGCCGATCACATTTGTGTAACACTGCATCAGTGGAAAAAGAAATTAGTAATATAATTTCCCCGTAACTGTATCACAAGGGCCTCAAAAGAATTTCCACGTTTCCATGACAAGGCACAATAACCCATATAATTTCATATTTATCATGTATCGAATTATCATAATAAAATAAGATAAAAGTTGCAGGAAATGGTAGAAGGTTTTAAGATCCTAATCAATAACTCTATAGTCCTGTTTCTCTTCAACATTTATTAAAGAGCAGCAAATGATTTCAAATGATGTGCACATGTCTAGATGTATGTATGCACTCCAGATATATTTAGCTTCCTTTAATGTTTTACGAACATTTACTTATGCAAATTTTCTTGATTTGAACATATATAGACTTGAGAGTGGAAGTGATCAATAGTCACTGAATTCAAGAAGACTATATAGACTTGTTTGTTTCTTCTTACAAAGTTGTTTATGGATTACTTAACAATATGAACATCGTAATGATTACTATTATCATACTGAGCACAATAATGAACTAGGTAACCGATCAAAATGGGTTTCTAAAGATTTAACTAATAAGATAAAGAAACAATTAGAAAAGAAGATTGAACTTGGCATGCAAATGAGTAAAGGCTTGTCTTTGTGTAGGTAAAATCACTAGTTAGTTCAACTCTTGGGGTAGATATAGATTAATATCTACCTACTCGGTTTCATAAACCGGTGGCCAATTGAACCTGCTGGTTCTATCAACCCTGTGATTTCAGATTTTCCTTCCTTGTCAGATCCGATTTGAGATCCAGTGCAATTAAATTGTCGATTTATCAATCGAGCCAAGTCATGTTTAATGGTGTATGCTTAATTGTTGAACTTCTCATAGTGCCCCGATGGGTAAAAATATTTCGATTAAAAGTTTTTTTTTTCGCGATTAAAAGGCTTCATTCATTGATTGAAATCAACTTCGAAGATACATTTGGAATAAGCAAGAAAGCCAAATGAAAAGAAAAGGGTTTAGAACAGATTTAGAAAAAAGTTCAATAAGGAGAGAATTTGCATAAGAATAATCCACAAATTTACTGCCATCTCCACAACTCGTTTAAAAGTTTGCCTAAATAAAAATCATGTAAAATCTCGAATTTTCTACCCTTTTTGTGCAATCATTTTCCATTCTTTTACGTTTTTTGTGAATTTAAAGAAGTGGTCGGTGTACATGCATCTAAAGAGAAACAGTTTATGTGTTTCACCCAAAAAATGGACCTGTTCATTATCACACAACATTATAGCTCTGCTCAAATTTAACACATTGATATGCATTACACATTTATATACCTTTACTACTTCCCCATTGCATTTTTCATGGTCGACAACTCTCCATCCTTCCGGTATTTGGGGCTCTTCATCAGTAGCACTAGTACTAGCGCTCGCTTGCTTATTTTTGCGCCGACGGAGCGAAACCATCTGAAATTTTCACTCAAGATCTCTGAAGGACCTCTCCTGGTTTTGAAGTTGGATTTGTGTAAACTAGAAAAGGTGGTGATAGGGGTGGTTTGAAGTAGTATTGAGCCAGTAAGGCAGTCAGTAAGGCAGTAAAGCTAAACCATCTTAAACGGTGGGCGTCATAAGCGTTACAAAACAACAGGTTGTTGAAGAAAAAGACAAGATATGATTCGAGAGATACATTAAAGGTAGTGGACGTGTTTTGCTTCTAAGCTTTGATGGGGTGAAGGAGTTCAAAGTGGAGAGCAATCCTAAGAGATGAAGCTTGAAATGTGTCTTTTACTGGTGCAACTAAGGTGGTGAAATAGATAGACATCACTAGGTCATCTTTTATGGTCATAGGTTAGTGGAAATCTACTTTTTTTTTTTTTTCAGTTTGTTCTTGTTTTTTCTCTTTGTTGGTATTTTTCTGGGGGTTGTTTCGGGCCGGAAGGAGCTCGCAGTCTAGATAGGAAACTCTGTATATGTTTTGCAGTTCATTGAGCAATAATTATTAGTCTTAGTTGTGAATAGTTAATGTTAATGATTTATTATATTTTGTTTATTTATGTGGATACAATCACTTTTCGAAACTACTTTAGTTTAAAGATTGAATATCATAATGCTAGTTTTTTATATTTTATATCTTTCTTTTCATACTATTACTTCTTCAAAACTACTTAGCTGTGGAATCAAATGTTCATAATAGCGAGCTTTTTTTTTCTTTTGGTTCAAAGTTACCGTATTTTGAGACATGATATTCCTATCAGTTCAAGTACAAATTAACTTTTTTTTTTTTTCATTGGAGGCTGACATGCCATTAAACCGTAATAATTAAATTTTGAGAGCTATAAATTGCTCTATAAGGATTTTTTTTTAATCATCAATATTTGAGTACTTTAAAAGCCAAAACTTATGTATGCATACCTCTAAGGGATAATTTCACAAACCTCCCCTGAAGTATCTGACACTTGCAGAGAGCTCCCCTCAAATTTTAGAAATTACACCTAATTTGCTATTTTGGTAATAAAATAGACCTATTAGGCTAGATTTTTTCCTCAAATACCCTAAATTACCCCTGTTCTATGAAAAAACAAAAGAAAACTAGTTTCTTCAACACTTTCTTCCAAATTTGCAATAACACCACCACCAAAACACTTCAAACTCCAATGCCAAATCTAATTATTTCCAAGCATGTGGCAAACTTACTAAGCAAATAGTTTGAACAGTTCAAGAATTTCAGCAGCTCCAAAAATCCCAACATTTGTCTTGTAATATTATCCCAGCCTAAATGTTTTTGAAAAATCAATTCTCCTTTGACAACCAACAGCTAAACTCATACTCTAAATTTCAATTTAATACCTAGCACTGTCGCAAAACAAATAATAATCTAACCTACCAGCACCAGTAGAATAATACTTCGACCTCCATAGAAATATATATTAACATTGTAAAATAGAGTAAAGCCATCCATAACAAAACAAGAACTAACAATATTAATCAAGTAAAGAAAATCAAATGGATTTATTAACATGCTATACAAGTTTTCAGGATAATAATCAACCTAACAATTCCCACTAATTCCTCCTCTTCCATGCTTCTTAGTTATCAATTACATTATTTCATTTCTTTGTCATCACTACAAACATATTCATTTCTTTTTAGTTGACAATAAAATCTGCTCCTGAAGGTAAACTAGTGCCATATTCATCAAGTAAATAGATATGGTTATGTTATGGTAGGTCATCATTAAGATAAACAGAGATGTAGATATAAAGAAAAAGTAAGAGGAAAGGAAAGGCAAAGAGACAATAAGAGAAAGGAAGAAAGAATGGTTGCTTACAAGAGTGAGAGAAAAGAAGAAAAAAGGAATGACGGTTGGTGGAGAATGGAAGAGGTAGGGGTTCTTTTTCTTTTTTCTTTTTCTTGGTTTTATTTAACCCTTGCATCATATTGTGAATTATCTATTAAGTGAAGGACATTATAGTCATATTATCACATCAAGGGAGGTTAGTGTAATTTCTTAAACCGGAAGGGAGTTGAGTGAAATTGTAAAAAATCTCAAGGGAGGTTTGTGAAATTATCCCTACCTCTAAAGAGAAATAACCCATTTAGGAGAAAAAAGTAAATAAGGATACTTAAAATATGGTAAATAACGCTACACCACATAATACAGTCATGCACCATTATAAGGAAAAGAGATAAAAAAAAAAAAAAAAAATCATTCGTGTAGTGTGTGTGTGTGTAGACTCACGTATATTATATGTGTGCGAATTTACCAAATTGACTTCTTTTGCTTTTTTTTTTTCTACCCCTTATTGACTTTACAAGGAAAAAAATTCAAACTGAATTTCTTTTTATTTCTTTTTCCTTCTCAGACTAACCTTAATAGGAAAAACATTAAATGTGAGCAAACAAGTCCCCTAACCTTTTTTCTTTTTTTTTTTTTTTTTCATTTCAGTTGATATCTAGAAATTTACTTTGATTTCTAAGAATTCATCCCAGTTTTGAAATTTTCATTTAATGCCTTCTAAATCTCGGTACGAAATTGCCCCTTAGTTAAAAAAGCTCGCTCCAAAGACTAGAGATTCAAAAATAAGAAATTGTAGTACAAATGTGCAAAGGAAAACAAAATCTATTTGCAACTTATCATGGGATTTTCCAATTTTTACAATGGTTCTTTATATTTTTATGGTAGCAGTTTAATACCAGAATTTCTCACACGGGTTAAGGCTTTTTGGGAGATTTATATTCTTGATTTTGTGCTAAAGAAATTTTGTTGGTTGGGAACTCTACCATTTCTAGTGTACTCATTGATGGGACATTATAACTTGTAATGTATACTATAAGATGCGCAAAAACAAGTAAATATAAGGAACATGTTCATTTAACAAGCCTCTTCGATACAAGGAAATGTTTACTTGCGATATAGTACAAAACTAAGTCCCTAGATAATAAAAAAATCTCTCCTACCAAACTATTCTATTTACATTCGAAGCTACAAAGTTATATAATCTCCGAGACAAAGAAATTGAAAATTTCTCCTACTCCTCTACTTTATACTTCACTCCCCCTCTTCTTCTTTGTGGCACCGGTACTCCGATCTAGCTGCCGGAGGATTCTTGGATCCATGTTGAACGTCAATCAAAGTTGACGTCCAGCTTATTTATAGCTTCAGATCCTGCCGTAGGTCCAGTTGCTTCTGTACCGCCTAGACCAAGCAGAATCATTCGGTGATGAAACAATGAGGGTACCTGCATGTGTGGTCTCTAGGATTTTGGTTGAGTGCATATCAGACGTTAACTTCTGTGCATGGTTCGCCGTTGCCGGTCGCGGTCGCATCGCAGTTCCGATTGTTCCACATTCGTCGCGGCATATCGATTGAATATCGAATAATATGCACATTATAGCACATGAAAGTTTTCAAAAATTTTGTAAAAATTACTAAAATTAGAAAATACCAAAAAAGCCACAATTTAAAAAAAATTCGAGTCGACTCCAAGTTTACTCGAATATATTGGCTGATATCATGCATCACGGATTCGAATCAGCCAATATCAGCCGAGCCAGAGCGAGCCATCGCGAATATGGTAATATCAACGATTCGGGAATCGGTATCGTATCGATCCTCTCAGTTCCGGTTACGATTCGATCGATACGTATCGGTATCGGCCGATATTGCAAACCATGCTTCTGTGTATTAGCAAATGTTGCAGCCACAAAATAAAGATGCAGCTGAGCATAGATTATTTTTGAAAAAGAAAACAGTGGTCTTAACTCTTAATCAATACCCTACGGGAAAGGAAAAATAATTATAGGAAATCCTGATTGGAAGGACAAAACAAAGAATATAAAAAGAAATATCATAGCGCTAAATCAGGTGTATTGCCAAAAATTTTGACAGGCCTAGATGGAGAATTTCTTCTCTGATAATAATGAATACCTAAATATGAACGATGATCGCCCAGTTTTACCTAGACAGCAGCTCCAAGAGGACTCAGCACTGAAACCTAAACAGCTCTCTGGGTTTCTAGGATCTCTCAAAGCAGGCATGTCTTTTTTGTTATACACATTACGTGCCAAATGTTAGGCCAAGGGGACGTCTCGAGGACGAAGGGCTTTAACGTGTACAGACAACGTTTTATTATGAGGCTGTGTTCACACTAGCTGCATTCCCAGTGAAGCATCCTTGTTTGACTAGTACAGTGGATTCTATGGGCAGTGCTCATTTAGGAATCAAGATTTTTTTTTTTTTTTCGAGAATGGCAGGTATATACCAAAGATGTTATAAAGAACATTCCGATTGTGACATGCAGTACTTTCTATCAATTTTCAAAGTTGGCAAATGTTTGAAGATTTCGCATATTTGGCAAATCAATAGACTATTTGTTGAGTTTTAAATAATCCATGAAGAATTAAGGCATATAACATTGGCTTGAAACTAATGGAGCAATAACGAGAATCATAAGAAATTATGATTCATATAAATTTAAGCAATTTCAATTCTAATGACAATAGTTATAGCAAATGGGTAGACAGTACGAGTTAAATAGAAGCGCATATGTTTCAACAATATGATGGTTGTATATTCTAAGATTGAGTTCACTTGTGAAAAATCTTTTTATTGACTTACAAGCCAATTTATTAATTAACATCAAAAGAAAACTAGCAAATCAAAGCGTATAGTGACACTGTGGAAGGTGAAGGAGATTCTTTTATAAGGAAGAAAGGAAAAAGTGAAGGAGATAGAGGATGTGCAAGCACTTACACTGGAAACATTTTCTAAATTACAGTCAAAACGGTATCTGGCTTCAACCCCTCATGCCAGTCAACATAAAGGAGCTGGGGCAGACAGCGAAAATGTTTATTGAATACAACGATTCATGTTTATAGGATTAGAACAACAAGACCACCCAAAAGTATGCAAAATTCCAACAAACACAAGATGCTCAATTCATTACTAGCACGAGTCATCACTGTACATGGAAAAAGAGACAAGAGCTAACACTTTTTCACATGGGTCACCAAAGCCTGCTAAGACTTGGGTGAAGATTAAAGAAAGGAAGAGAAGAATGTCACATTGTACCAATAGGCACACTTCACAGAAGTTCTCAAAATCCTTTTATCGGAAAATTTTACTGTGCTGTTTGATTGTCCGCGTTGTTATGCCGTTCTGTGGTTGCAAGAGAAAACACCATAATACATGCATCTCAAAGCAACATCAGTATTATTTCCATTGGAATAAGTAAGTTGAGACCCCAGTGATGATTTTGCATGATGTCCAAACACC